GTATTCAGAATGATTTCGAACTTTTTTTGAAAAATAAATTATTTTTTAAATTAAATGTCAAAAACAAAAAATCACAAAGATTTATCATATTTTATTACGATGCTTTTAAGACCTAGGAAAAACCCTAATTTCAATTTGGCAATATTTGAAAATAATTTTGACAGTTTCGACGGGTTTCGACGGGAAACGCTTGACATCCGTCGTCGAAACTTTTGTGCCCGAAACTTTCGCGATTTTGCCTTTAAAAAAATTTTGGTAAATGTCCAAACTAGTTTAGATTTTGCCACTTGCCGAGACCTCTAGGTTTTGCCATACAACATTATGATGCTTATTAATAAAGAAAAACACGAAGTAAGGCGTTAATAAGCATAATATATAGGGTTATGGTTTAAGCATCAACTAACACCGGTGTTAGTCGCAAATCGTACTGCGCCTCGGATGACACGTGACTTTTGAATTACTTTTTGTTAACGTTTCGAATAATTTACTTTTCATAACTTATATTATATAATTTACTTTTCATTATTTATTTATATTATTTAGTTTTCATAACATGTGTTATTTATTATTATTGGAAGGCGTAGTATAGTAATAGTTAGAAAATTTGTATAAATAGACCTGTAAGCCTTGAGTAGACAGAGTTCGATCAGATAATGTTCTGAATAAGTCTTGGGATTAGACATATAACTCTACAATTTTAATAATGTTACTATTTACACTTTCAACCTTCTTCTTGTCTTCATCATAGGATTTGATCGTGATAAGTAACTACACAAGTGAATCGTGATAATAAATCGTCTTGATTGTTAATCATTTATGAAAGGCCTTCGAGATAATTGAGATATTAAGATATTTAGCTTGTTACCCTGGTTTCGGTATAATTCCAGGCCTAACACCGGCAACGGCACCACTCCTATTAATACATAGATTAGGTTAGATTAAAAAAAAGTAATAAGTCACAGTAGATTCTTGCGCGGCTCTTCGGATATCTATTCTAATCATTGGAATTGAAATGTTAAATTACAATGATGAATGTTTTATTAATGATTAGTTGACAACCGCTCAAACATTGCTTTATAATCCTTTTATGAGCTCATATCTGTTGCTACATTTGGAAATTGTTCGTTCAAAGAACTTTTTTCAACTCATAAGATTAAAATATTCTCGAGTGGTTATTCAAGTTTTTGTGATATAAATTAGTTTGATTATTATTAAGAAATGTCCAATTCGATTCATTAGAGAGACAAGCGATTGAAGTATTATAATTTTAATATTTCTTCATATATTTTCACACCAGACGACAATCAAATTTTCCAATATTGATTTCACGCAGTTGACGAGGCATTTTATGTACTTTCGAGAATGAAATTTGAAGTTAGTAGAGATTTATTGACTTAAAGATCGAAAATTTATCTTAGAATTTAGCAGCTTTCGATCGTGTGCAAACTACAAATTTATTTAAGTTTTTTGCTTAATAATGTTATGCTAAATGTTTGTTTAAAAAACAATAAAAATAAAAAATTTCAAAAATTGATCAGATGCTAATTCAATCAAAAGAAAACTAAAGGAAAGAGCTGTTTATTTTACTAATTTTCTCCCATATTGATAACAAAGTTAATTATTTTAGAAATCTCAATTCAAATCTTTAAAAAATACATGGAATAGATATGGGAGGCAAGCTATTAATTAAATCACGTTACGGATCATATGATTTACTAAGTTCGTAATAGCAAACCTCCCATATACATATTGCAAGAAAGCAACTTTCTTTATATCATGAAAATATCAATTCAGTATATCACAATTTAAAATCAATATGAGGAGATTATTTCCAATGGGTTAATCGCATTTAAAAAACAAACTCCTTGATTTTATATTATACTCGTGCTGAAAAATTGGCAATTTTAATATTAAAAAAAATCGGAAACCGAATAAATCCTGAATATTCGACTGAAAGACAAATCGATCATCGGATAGGTGATGTCTACCATAACCCAAGGCCAGTAAAGTGTTACTTTTCTAGTTAAAGTATATCATATAATCGTCATCAGTTACTACTCCGAAGACTTCAATCTTTTCATTTTGATACTGAATTCTTAAATTATTTATTGGAACCGGCTAATTATTAACCGGTCAATTGGTGGTTTACTATACAGCAAAATTGATTGTCGGGTTGCCGGGTTACTTCGGGTAGTCGGGTTATTGAAAATATAATATCACGCGGCATATATGTATGTAATTAGCTGGTTAACTGGAATTTATCCAGTTAACCAAACTTGGATAACCGGTTTAAAATTTTTAATGACGCTAAAGAGATGCCTTCATATAAAAGTTAAATCTTTTTTTTTAAGGAGTTATATCATTTATAAATAGAATTTTCAAAGCATATTTTGAAGTACTTTTGTCAAAGTAAATCATTTTTCATTTTAAATATAAATTGTTCAAATGTCCTAAATTACTAAAATTCCATTTAGGAAGAAATAGATGTTTGTTTTTAACGTTACTAAATTAAGAACTTAGGACTTTAATTATCTATCTTATGGTGATTAAGTAAAGGGTTGTCTGTTAACATTTTTCGTAGCATTACTATCTAAAATTGCTTAATAAACATTTTTTACTGAAATCTTAATTTGGACGATAAATCCTTGGTAATTTAAGCCAATATACACTACGTGGGTACAGCCTTATATCTAAAATCTGTGTAAGGAACTGGTAAAAGTATCATTTGCCATATTAGAAAAAGTACTTGGAAAGAAAATTGTATATAAGACTAATGATCCTGATCAAGTTGCGGGAAAAATTTAATAGTGCTGTTGTTGTGGGGAGACAAATAAATATATTCTTAAAAAAATATATTGCATTCATAAATCTACAGTATTTCTTTAATATAAAATAATTAATAAAATAAATGGACATATACCAATTTTTTTTGACTTCTATCATAAAATTAAATTATCGGTACCACTATCTTCGAAACTTGACATGGAAAGATCCAAAGCGTCATTTAAAAAAAAGTATAGAAGAAGCCAATAGTAATGGAATTATGTCTATTCAGAAAATTTCTCAATTTCATAGACAAGTAAAAACTCAGGAATAACAGTAATTTATTGATCATATATAACTTAAATGTAGTAGTTTTTGTATATAAACGTCCTATCGATATTGTAACATAAATATTTTTTAAATTGATTTATCAATTTCAATAATCTGTTTTAAATTTTCAAAGAAATTTTAGATTGTGAAATATTGCTCAATAAATCTTTATTTTTATAATTTAGGAACGTTTAACGTTAAGAACCGGTTTTAACCTAATTTTGAACTGAAACCAGATTAATTAACAATGAATATATTCTAATTCAGGTCCATTCTAAGAAAGACTTAGACAACAAATTTACTTAATACCATTTTTTTTTTGCGTAGTTAATTATTATAGTCAAGTCTATATACAGAGACGCGATAAATGTTTGAAAGGTAAGGATAGAATTTTTATTAAACTTCAAGATTTTTCGGAGGTCTCTTTCCCAAGACTCATCAATCCTATTCATTAATCAAGGGGATTTTTGAGGTTTTATACGAAAACTCTAAATACTAACTATTTCCAAAAAAATAAATATAACCAATAGAAATTATTAATAAAATGAAAATAACGAATAAAATAAAAACAACAATTAAAAATTATATAATTATTTTAGCATACATATTTAATAACATTTTCGTTATTTTTTCCGCAGTTATTGGGCCATTAGTAAATGTCGATTTCTTATAACACCGGTCTCAACATGAAAACCATTGATCTCAAAGTTTATTTTCCTTTTAAAAATTATTCAAATAATTAATTATAACACTTATTTAACAAGAGTTATTTATTTTAAATAAAGATTAGGCTTATAACTAGAAATTCATTTCGGGACCATCCATATAATTTCGGATTGCGTTTGGATTATTAAGAATTGAAAAATTGAAACACTTCATAATCTTCTATTAAGATATCATATTCTCTTAACCAACAATAATTATAATTAGTAATCTTCATTATATTTGATAAACTACATATGCTTGATCTGCATTCTTCACATCCTTAAATCCTTATTTTTAAAAGAAAATATAAAATATAAACTATTCTTGGTTTTACCAAATTCATTGAAGGAGTAATTCAAACAAAGACATCAAGAAAGAAGGAATCCAGTGAAACTGGACTGGATATCCTGAAAGGATTCGATTTGGACGATATCGGTATCGTCGTTATTTTTTTCTTTGTTTTTGCACCCCCTTAATGAATGTAAACGTGCAAGCAAAGTATATCATCATAATTAATGAAACTTCATTGAAGTAGACACCTTTAGGTTTTACCTAGCAACCTTAAATGCAATAGTATAAATAAGCTTTGATAAGAAAAATTTAAATAGCTATTTAAATCAGATATAGTAAACCCATCTCGGCTCCTTTATAACAATTTGAATAGAAATAGATCGAGAGCAAAGAAAACCAAGAATCAACCTTCTCCCAGCCATTTTGGTCACCCCACCCCTGTCACCCTAATTTTTAATAAGGCTTTTTTAAGATGTGTGGAGAATGTGTCAAAAAGGGAAGATTAAGAAGGTTTTGATAATTTTTAAAAAGGGAAATTTAAGAAAAAATTTAAAGGGGAAGATTAATAACATTTAAAGAAAGGGGAATCAAAAATCACACAAATTAAAAAGAGAAGATTAAACATTACCATAAAAATAATAAATTATATGAAATTCAAGGCATACAGGGTAAAAACTCTAATACAGGGCACCCTACATACTTCATACATTAAATGTAATTCTCTTGAAATTGAAATAATATTTAAATTGTATCTATAATTCCATTAACTTTCCACTTATGAAGTAAAATGTTATCACTTGGCTAATTATTTGGAGCCAAATATGAATGAATAAGACTTCATAAAGTTGATAATTCAAAGCATTTTTTGGCATAAAGTTACGACGATTGCGCCAAATCCAATGATAAAATATTCATACGAATGTCAAAGCAGGCAGATTATAAAAATTAATAAGGAATACGCTCCTATTTTCCTCAATTTTAAGCTTATATTTCTCCTTCATTAACCAAACTAATATTCTAATAACATCCTGACCATTCAATTCCTCCTTCATAAAACTCGACAAATCCACAATAATTTTATAGCTGCCGCAAGGCAGCGTTCCTCTTCTAAAATTTTCTAAAGGATTCAGATAAGACCGTTGGAGGTCACGACATTTTCTAGAAGGAATGAATTCCTTAGGATCATTATCCTAATGGAGGGACCAATTGTTCTGCAGCACTTTTGATCTCGGGAAGATGCTTTTTTATGATTTCAATATAGTAATGTTCTTCCGGATGCAGTTAAAGACTGGTTTTGCGCAGACCGTTGAACCTCATATACCGTATTACTAAAATAACCAAAAGGATGTTTCATTGGAAAAAACTCTACGTTTATGCTTATGCACATCAAAGTGCCAGATCTTCTTTCCTAGTTATTTTATAATAAGTCAGATTTTTGTAGGAAAAATAAACAACTTATGGGATTCTTTGACCCGGTGGATTTTGAGGAGTTGCAGGAATCGATGCTGTCCCGGGATACAACCTTGTAAGCAAAGAGACGTTCTTAACTATAGAACACCCCCTTAACGAAAATTTGAATGCAAATTTTCTAAGAAATTGCAGGATTATACTGCCCAAGAGCTTTTGAACTCTCTGAAGTGAATTTTTCTGGGACGACCGGAGCGTTATTGATGAGTTTTAGCCAGGTTATAATACCTTGGTATATTTGATCATTGTTGTGTCCGCCAGCCTTCCTAATCCCAGAATTCCACAAACAGACTTGTTGTTAGTCTTCATTTCGACGCTGGATAATAAATTTTTTCATTGTAAAAGTTAACTATTGCGCCAGACAGTAATATGGATGAACTTTTTCAGAATAAAAAAAAAAAAAATCTATTAAGAGTAAAACCTTGTTGGAATATCTCACGTTTTTGCCTCGATTATAAATATCATAATATTCACCGTCATCTAATATTTCAATATAATTTTGGAAGAAAATTTGCCGACGAAAAAAAAAATTTTGTATTCCTGATAAGTAAATGATTTTACTCTATATTTAGATAAAATCCGAACCAATAGATTTACATATGCTTAATTTGGACTAGTCCAGGTTTATTTTTTTATAATTGAAAAAAATTGTTATTAGAGTATTTTTATGTTTCTTTAAAATATTATTTTTACATTTTATAATTATAAACATTTATTTATCAATGAGATTTTAACAGCTCATAAAATTTTTTAAAAATCTTAGATTCTTTCGCATTCATTACTCATGTGATGTATAACAATCGATTATGTTTTTAAAAATTAAATTTTTAATCGATTAAAAAATTAGATTTTAATTTTTAATTTAATTAAATTTAATTTGACAAATGAATCAAAAAAATTACTCAATATGTACCATTACTAGTTTTAAGAATGTTATCTATTATAGGACCACTACGATATGACTGTTCGTATACTTAGGATCGATTGATAATTTGATCAATTCTGAATTAATTTTAAATACAAAATTAAATTTCGATTATACATCCAATATCCAGAAGGACTTCAATATCAAAAAAGAAAATAAAGTATCGAAAATGTAATTAGAATCATGAGGGCCGCGCAGAAAATAAGTTAATTATGTCAAAGTTCAATCGATTTATTAGGGATCAAATATACAACAATAAAAGGGACGATGTAATGGAACAATTACGTATGAATAAATATTTATGTATACTTTATTACTTTTATTGCTGACTCCGCAACAGTTTATTCAAGTTTAGTACTAGTTGGTAACTAATAAAAATAACCAATGGTGATAATTTGAATCGGAAAAATTTTTTATTCTAATTAGATAAAAAATAATTTTTTTGGCTGCTTTCAAATTTATTTAAAACTAGTTAAAATACAATACAGCCGAGTGATCTTTTAGAGTAAAATTTTAAAAGTTCAACATATTGAACTTTATTAGCAAAATATGCTCCTTAAAATTAATAAACTCCAATTTAAATTATAAGAAATAAACTGCATAGAGGAATAATAGCGGTCGGATTATCAAATATAATAATTCGAAAATTATAATCGCAAATCGTAACTTGATTTGATTCCAAAATTATCAACTCCTTTTGGATCTATTGTTGCAACTGAAATTCTGAATTGAGGAAACTATTAAGCTTTTTTAGTTTAATTTTATGGAAGCTTATTATCACTTAAAATTTGATTTATCCGATTTCGATTTGGCCAAAATTTTTTAATTCTGACTGGAACTAAAGAATTCATCATTTTATGGAAATTGAAACTGAAACCAAATAACAAGTAAGATCCTAAATCTAACTAAGGGCCGTCCTAAGAAAGATTTTAATGACAACTATTTATTTGCACGATTTTCTTGTGTAGTTATCATATATGGTGACAAGATAAAGATTTGAAAGGGTAAGATATAATTTTTATTCAATTATAGGATAGGATTTCGGAAGTCTATTCTCAAGTCTCTTCAACCATACTATCATCAATCAAGTCGTACTTTATACGAAAGTTCCAAATTCTAGCTTTACTATAAGATAATTAATAACAATCTATAATTATGTATGATAAAAACTAATATAGAATCGAAATGTAATATAATTATTCTAGCATACATATTTAATAAGACATTCATAATTGATAAATATTTATTTTTGATATTTTTGAAATTTTCGATATTTCTTATGGCACTGATGATTGGTCGATGCAAAATAATGTCCTACTCTTTCGATTAATTTCCCAAAAATTGTTTCGAAATTTAACATGTGCACGTGTAAAATCAGCCCAAGGATTTGAACCTCTAATATTTTGCAGAAAATAGAAATCTATAAAAATGATTTTCCCTTTTTTTTAAACAAAAATTTATTTATCAAATTTGTGTTTGAGTATTTTACAAATAGGGTTAGATCGCTTATTCAATCCACAAACAAATTTTGATGAAACGTGATCACGTCCAAAAAAAGATTAGTCAGAATTAAAGTCATACAAGTGATATAAAGATAAAGGAAATTGCATTCTAAACATTAGATTATAAAAAAAATTTGTGCAGAAATAACATTGTGCAACATTAAAAAAATTGTATTTAAATATGCATTCCCTTACATTGAATTTTAACTCTAAACGCTTCTGTATTAATTTGAAGTATAAATTTTCCTCCTTTTTGTTTTAAAGAAAAGATCGTTAATTAATTTAAAAAAATATCTGACAATATCTTTACAGAAACTTCGATTTTCGTTAAATATGTTAAAAATATTTCAATATATAATAATAATATATTTAATATATAATTAAAATATTTAATTTATTTAATATGTTTACAATATTTTTAAAATATATTTATAATATTTTTAATATATGCTAAAATTATAAAAATTAATAAATATTATTGTAATATTATTGTAATATTATATATGTATTATTATTATATTTATTTATATATATAATTAATATAATATATTAAAAATATTATTAATATATAAAAATTATATTTTAATTGAAATATTTAGTTTATTTAATTTATTTAAGAGTAAATTTATTTAACGCCCCCATGGTGATACCGCATCCTATTTAATCACGTGATATAATATTTGTGTTAACACATATTTTTATAAAAAACATTATTGAATACGTTCACATGATTTTAACGTGTTTCGTGTTTCATATTCCTGCATTTTAAAGTTAAAATTTTATTAGTGTGATAATCCTTTATCATAGAATGGAACACTTATATGACAATATAGTGTAAATATTGAAGTGGGCTATTTTTGTAGTACGAATTTGCTTCTCTTTAGTCATTCTTTTACTAGGCAAGCCATTTTTTTTATTATGGACATTCTTTTGCTTTTTATCCTCAATTTCGTTTTTAATGGTCTTTCGAAATAATGTATAATTGATAGTTTTAACTTTACGAAAGCTATGAATAAAGAAGCTGATAAGGTTAATTTATTTATTTTCGTTATAATACTTGTAAATTCTTTACAAACTCAAATGTATTCTATAGCTTTTGAAGTTTTGCCTGAGACCTTTTTTTTGTTTCAGGAATGGAAATTTCTAAAAAAATTATACATTCTCTGATACCTGTTACTGGTTCAGAATTTGAAGTTTTTGATAATGTTACTGAAAATGTCAACTCAACCTCTATAATGTCTCTTCCAATAACTTCAATTTTAATGCAAGTTTTTTCAATGGTTCTGCCATTTATTCCTCCAATAGTTCTACCACTTATTCCTTTAACGGTTCTGTTACTTATTCCTTCAATAGTTCTATCACTTATTCCTTCAACGGTTCCATCACCTATTCTTCCAACGGTTTCAATAAAAGATAATTCTATATCTTAATCTGCTGTTTCTTTACTACTTTCTGATTTTTTAGCTTAAGTTAAAGCTGAGATGTATATCAACACTAATTCTCCAACTCAGGATGAGTCTATCAACATTGATTCTCTAATTCAGACTGAGATTTCTATCAACATCGATTTTCATATATCGCCTCAAATTTTAGAATTATCTATTGGAAATTGTTTTGCTTCTTGAATAATCACTAAAGATCATATAAAAGAGTTTAGAAAGCAGAAGGAATTTGTAATTAATAAGCATCAAGTTGAATACTATAAAAATCAATCATCTAATTTGATTGAATAAAGTGTAAAAAAAGAACTTACATATGCAAATATTTTAGAAAGTATAAATCTCATAGGATAAAAATAATTGAGTATTAACATAATAAAAGATCAAAAAAACTGACTGTAAATGTCATGTTAATTTAAGCAAATACAAAAATGATGATTTAGTACATTTAACCTTTATACATTCTGATCATAATCATGAATTACTTGCTGATAATATGATTCGCTACAAAATTTTGAAGGTTTAATGATCCTATAATGGATGAAATTAAGCGTGCAGTTATATATGATCGTTATAATGCATATACTATATGAAATTTATTGCAACTATTATTTCCTGATCAACTTTTTCTTACTCAAGATCTATCAAATGCTATTCAGAAAATCAAACGTGATAATTAAATTATTAGATCAGACACTTCTCATTTGTTGAAATTTCTTCTTAAGCAGCAAAAAGAAGACATATAATGTTTATACAACTATTAATCAATGCAGATAGTAATAGACTTTGTGGTGTATTTTGGATGACATCAAATTAAATTTTATTATAGTTTCGCTATTCTGATGTTATCTTACATGATAACACTTCAAGAACAAACAAGTATAATTATCCTTTATTATTATTTATACTTGTTGACAATGATGGTAAATCATGTTTAAGGGCATATGCTTTTTTAAATGATAAAACTTAAGAAAGTTACGAATGGATTTTGCAGCAGATATTAGATGTGACGGATTTAGAATCTCAGGTTATAATAATTGATATGGATCCTACAGTAAATGCCGCATATCAAAAAATATATAAAAATACATACCATATTCATTGCATTTAGCATATGTCTCAAAATCTGCCTAAACGTCTTAAACATAAGCTTAGAACTGCAGATTTCAAAACATTCGTTAAAGATTTTTGGATAATATGTAGTTCATTATGTTTAAAGGTTTTTGAGCAACAATTTCAAGCTTTGTTAAAAACCTTTTCTAATAGTAATGATTATTTATGTAATACAATGAAACTTTTTCTAATAGTAATGATTATTTATGTAATACAATTTATCTAATTCGAAATTCGTGACTCAAGTAGCATAGCGGGCTTTTATTGTGATTGGCCAATTTTTGCAAATCATTTTTTATTATTGCTGAAATTCTATTAGCTAATAAAATCACATGATTTTATATTGATAAAAATCGAAGAATAATTAATCAAAGAAAAAATAGTTAATCAAAGACTATTTAGTTAATCAAAGGTATTTAGTATGATATTTAGCCCAAATGAAAAAAATATTTAATAGAGAATTTTATAAAATCGAATTTTTTTTATTATTCATTTGTAAACTATTATTTACATATTTTCGCTTAAACTTTATAATAATACATAAAAAAATTTTCTAAACTATACATTCATTAAAGCATTCATGGCTCTTTCAAAAAGTATATCTATATTAGTATTTAAAGAAAGATTTTTGCTACCAATATTAGTATCGTCAATAGGTTCAGTAATATCTGATTCATTTCTACCCTCATTTGTATCTATCTTGTTAAATGAAGTTAAAGACTTCTGATAACTTTGACAATTTTTTTAATTCTGTTTACAAGATAATCAATGCAATATTGGCATTAACTTTCTAATTTAAATAAATAACACTCAAAATGATAAGCGTGTTCACAAATTAAAATACAATCTACCTTACATAAATCCATACAGTCTTCCAAGTTACAATACCTATCTTCTTGAGGAGAATGTACCGTATTCCAAGCCATTGCCAATATTTTAATATCGACTTGAGTTGCAAGAGTTGGAAATTCGTATACTTTAAGTTTGAATGTGCATCAGATAAAACAACTTTTGATTTGCCAAGATTCTGATAGACACATATAAAAAAATTTAACAAGAAAAGTGCAGTCTGTTTTTCAAGATATTCTAGCTATTTTGCTGAATATCTGATATTGTGATCCTCAGAAAATGCATCTGCGAAAAAGTTGCTACCATGCATCTGATTGATTACTCATGTCTGTCAAATAATTTGTCCAACTGTATTTGATTTCTGTATTTGTCGTCGAAGTAAACTGTGAAAATTTTCTACATAATAATTGTTGAAAACATGGAGAAAATCTGAAAGAACTTGTGAAATTGGATGATTAGTACTAGACCAGTAGAAAACATTACTTAAAAATGCTAATGGCAATTTGTTATAGTGTTTACGATTATATTGAAAAAAAAAACCCTAAATATGAAATATTGCTTTTCTATATGCTCTCCAATTTCCACTCCGAAATATAACAGGATAGAAATCTAAGACTAATAGGAGGATATTATCTAACAAATTGATGAGATATCAGACTTCTGGATCTTTAGACCATTCAAATTTCTGTAAAATAATTAAGCATATACGAGACCAGCCTTGAGATGTAAGTTCGAGTATCAAACTAATTTTATAAGGTTTTGGCTTTTGTGTCAATACCTTCTGATGCCCAAATACCTCATGAAAAAGCTTGTCAAAAAATTTATAATTTGCAAGAAACACAGTTTCACAGATATTCAAAAATACATGCAAAGGGCCAATCATCAGAACGATATGCAAAATTTGTTCCAGTATTCCAGAAGAATCTCCAACTTTAATGCGATAGTTGATAGCACGGCGTATATGTAGTTGTTCAGGATAATCCATAGGAGCAACTAATATTTGCATCTTCATATAATCTCTTACTTCGGAAATGTCTATCATGTGTTTAACGGCCTTTATATAATTACTAGTAGAATGAAGGAAACTCTCTTTTAGATCAACCAACTTTGTATTTTCCATACTCTGATCAATTCGGCATTATTCAATTCGATCATTATAGCTGTAAATCAAAAGACACTCAACTCGTTCATTATGTGTCATTGGTGAAAGTGTCAAATCAGCAAATACTTGTTTTCATTCTATATAACTAAACCATAAATAAGGAAAAAAATATATGTGAGCATTTTGTATAATAATGTTTTCATCAATACCCTTTGGTTATGAAGACTCCTTTCACTTCCTTCTCAATTAGGATTGTAATATAGAATAGAAACAGTTTCTGGCAAGACTTTTAGAAGTATTGTAATAAAATGAGAGACTTTATGTGTAGTCATTGTATCACTACGATGGTACTCATGAATGTTGTGAAAATCATCTATATTAAGAATAACCAGGCTTCTTATCTATGAATAAGTTACATATGTTAGCTAATTTTTTTTACAAATCATAAACTTAATAAAATATTTATATACTTACATTATCCAATAAAAACTTTCCTATTGTTATTGTATGCACTTCTGCATGCTAAACTTTTTGTTTTGCAATAGTCTCACATCATATCATCAAGCCTGCATTAGCTAAGGTCTTTATTGCTGATGAAGACACTCAGACGAATCTAATAAAAGTCCAACTTCTGCTTTAACTCCATTAATAATTTATTGTTAAGTTCTGCTAAAAAATAACAAAACAAAACCAGTCTTATTCTATTTTTTTTATTAGTCATATGACTTTTGGTTTGTGGGTTAGTTTCGGCTATTAATTGGTCAAAAAAGCCTTTCAATGATGGTTCGGCCTCCTCAAGCATTTTCTTGAATTCTTCTGGATCAAGAATAGGTTTTTCATTATATACTCATTGCCTTTTATACAACACTCCTGCCATCAATTTAATTTTCTTACTAAGAGGAGTCAACTCTAATAGATAATTATTATATGATTATAGGATTCACATGATGTTATTCAGTATTAAAAAGTTTGTAAATAAAATTTACTCACCTAGCTTTACCTCATCAAGCTCTGCACATACTTCATGATACGCAGATTTAAGTTTCTGAAATTGAGATTCAGAGTATATAATATCACTACGTAAAATATAAGATCTACCTTGAAACTTCCTTAAATAATCTTTAGAAATCCTTTCAAGTATTGGCATATAATCAGCTGAATTAACATATTCTGGATCAGTGTCAGTTTTATATAAGCAATGGTGACACATTATTGCTCTTGTGATAGTTTGAAGAAATTGATTAATCATTCTGGAGCCTTCTTAATAGTTTTCATTTCTGTATCATGTTGAGCTGTAAAAATATAGAGCTGATGTTTTGGATGCGAGCATACATTATTAGTTTTAGATTTTTTTGCATTAACTATCAATTTATTGTAATGTTTTCGATACAAAACCTTGCCAACCAAGTCTAGGTATTGACTTGAACTTGGTATCTTTACTTTTTTGGATACAATAGATACGCTGTGCAGTTCATAATCACATATAACATCCTCTTGACCTTCCAAATCACAGTATTGAATCTTTCTTTTTCCTTTTTTTTCAATGGAGGAAGTTTGACGAGCTTCTTGTATAGACATTTTGCTTTATACTCTTTTTTCTGGTAATAAAAATGCTGGAATAAAATAAATATGTATTAGCCAGTTTCTGAATTACTTTGCCATTTACTGAATTACCTTGATAGTCTATAAAACAAGAGCTATATTTTCGATTTTTTTGATCACAATCTTTGCTAATTCATTTTCGTAGCTACCAATCTATTTAAGGTTAGATGATCATCTTTTTTATATGAATTTAATATATGATGATCATTTTGAAGATTAACCAATCAGATTTAAGCCTGCTATATTTATAAGTTGAAATTTTACAGCTGGCATGCAATCAACATAGCGTGTTGAATCTATAATTGCAATTGTTCATAAGGCTGTTTCTTCTAGTTTAACTATATCTGATATAGTTGAAGTTTTGGATTCTTGAATGCAAAAAGAGGCAATAAACAAAAGTTTTATGATATAGAAGTACAGATCGATGATATATTACCAACCATTTATTGTGAATAATTTTTTTAGTAATATTAATAGTCTAATTAAAAAGCATTTTCCCCACATATTATTGAAGAAGTTC